AGGTGGTGGGAGGGATAAATTAGGAGTTTGGAATTAGCAGGTACACGGTACTGTGTGTATATAAAACAGGTAAACAACAAGGACTTACTGTTTAGCACAGGGAACTATATTCGGTGTCCTGTAATAAGCTATAACAGAAAAGAGTCCAAAAAGAGAATATAGATGTATGCATATACGTGTGTGACCGAGTCACCGTGCTGTGCACTGTGCTGTACACCTGGAACCAGCAGTGTTGCAAGTCAGCTACACTTCAGTGAAGAAGTGTCAGCAGGGGCGCGACCTGGAGATGAAGCAGCCGCGTCCAGAGCGGGCGCCCTCCAGCTGCGAAGACTGCCCTGCGCTTCTCCACCCGCCTCCCGCAGAGCTCGTGCTGGGGGCAGCCCCTTCCGGACGCTATGAAATGCGCATATCTGGTGGGCACAGCTGCGTGGGGACTGTGGACGGGAGCAGACTTTCATCTCGCCGACACCCCAACTTTGTCTCAGGGTGTCGTCCTGCGAGGCCCCCGTGTGTTGTGGTGTCGTGAGCGCCGTGTGCAGTGATCGTGTCCTGCTTTAACTGTGCTCCGTCCTTTCTCCACAGAGCTTTTGTGCTGCATTGCACCAGGAACTCAAAGAATACTACCGATTACTCTCTGTTTTACATTCCCAGGTAAATACCTTATTTTTAATTTCTTCAGGATTTGAAGTGTTAGGAAATGCCACTATACAGAATTTTTAAGTTTCTTCATACATTACTTTTAAAAGATAAAAATCTGGTAATCCTGTTGGGAAGGTTTGGATATCTGTAAAGTTTCAGTGTGTCCTAGAGCCAGTTCATTGCTAATTTTCAGGGTCCTGTCTGCCATTGAAACAGACCTCCTTTGTAGCTTGAAGGAACTGTCGCTGTCTCAGAGGGACCTTCTGTTTCATTTTTATGCGGATAATCCTTTCCCCGTGTCTGCTTCACATGGATTAAGACATGCTTGGCCTGTTTGGTGACCTGTACTTACACATTCTGTCTTTCCTGTTTTTCAGCTACAGTTAGAAGATGATCAGGGTGTGAATTTGGGCCTTGAGAGTAGCTTAACGCTCCGGCGTCTCCTGGTTTGGACGTACGACCCCAAGATAAGACTGAAGACCCTGGCGGCCCTGGTGGACCACTGCCAAGGTCATTTTGCTTTATTTCAAAGCAGGTTTTAGGGAATGTCACCGAGGTTTATTTTTGTGCCTGCCCTTTTCTATGCTTAACAGCCAGAAGGATGCTGATTAAATACAAATTAATAGACATGAAATTATAGGGGAGAATAACCAGCTGCCCTGCACAGCCCAGTGTTTATGCTTTGGAGGCTCAGGACTTCGTTGAGGGGAAGGGGGCGGGGTCTAGTTTTCAGAGATTTCGCCTTTTCCTGTGGCCCACGGTGTTCCAGCTGCTTATCTCTGTTCCTCTTTTGTCTTTCAATTAGCAGCCTCTCCTAGTGCTTCACTCCCCCCAGGTTCTGGCCCACGTCTGGCTGGGCTCAGCAGCTGCGTCACGAGTTCCCTTGTTTGCGCGTCTGGGTGGGGCCTCCCCTGGGCTCTCGGCCTGTGTTTCTAGTTGCTTCTCAGCATCTTTCTCACTGTGTGTGCTCCCTTGGCCAGGAAGCCCTTTGTCTCTCCTCACCAGCCCCCACATCTCACCTGGCCCTCCCACCCCGAGGGGGCAGGGACCCCCAGTGCCCTGCCCCCTCGGGGTGGGAGGGCCAGGTGAGATGTGGGGGCTGGTGAGGAGAGACAAAGGGCTTCCTGGCCAAGGGAGCACACACAGTGAGAAAGATGCTGAGAAGCAACTAGAAACACAGGCCGAGAGCCCAGGGGAGGCCCCACCCAGACGCGCAAACAAGGGAACTCGTGACGCAGCTGCTGAGCCCAGCCAGACGTGGGCCAGAACCTGGGGGGAGTGAAGCACTAGGAGAGGCTGCTAATTGAAAGACAAAAGAGGAACAGAGATAAGCAGCTGGAACACCGTGGGCCACAGGAAAAGGCGAAATCTCTGAAAACTAGACCCCGCCCCCTTCCCCTCAACGAAGTCCTGAGCCTCCAAAGCATAAACACTGGGCTGTGCAGGGCAGCTGGTTATTCTCCCCTATAATTTCATGTCTATTAATTTGTATTTAATCAGCATCCTTCTGGCTGTTAAGCATAGAAAAGGGCAGGCACAAAAATAAACCTCGGTGACATTCCCTAAAACCTGCTTTGAAATAAAGCAAAATGACCTTGGCAGTGGTCCACCAGGGCCGCCAGGGTCTTCAGTCTTATCTTGGGGTCGTACGTCCAAACCAGGAGACGCCGGAGCGTTAAGCTACTCTCAAGGCCCAAATTCACACCCTGATCATCTTCTAACTGTAGCTGAAAAACAGGAAAGACAGAATGTGTAAGTACAGGTCACCAAACAGGCCAAGCATGTCTTAATCCATGTGAAGCAGACACGGGGAAAGGATTATCCGCATAAAAATGAAACAGAAGGTCCCTCTGAGACAGCGACAGTTCCTTCAAGCTACAAAGGAGGTCTGTTTCAATGGCAGACAGGACCCTGAAAATTAGCAATGAACTGGCTCTAGGACACACTGAAACTTTACAGATATCCAAACCTTCCCAACAGGATTACCAGATTTTTATCTTTTAAAAGTAATGTATGAAGAAACTTAAAAATTCTGTATAGTGGCATTTCCTAACACTTCAAATCCTGAAGAAATTAAAAATAAGGTATTTACCTGGGAATGTAAAACAGAGAGTAATCGGTAGTATTCTTTGAGTTCCTGGTGCAATGCAGCACAAAAGCTCTGTGGAGAAAGGACGGAGCACAGTTAAAGCAGGACACGATCACTGCACACGGCGCTCACGACACCACAACACACGGGGGCCTCGCAGGACGACACCCTGAGACAAAGTTGGGGTGTCGGCGAGATGAAAGTCTGCTCCCGTCCACAGTCCCCACGCAGCTGTGCCCACCAGATATGCGCATTTCATAGCGTCCGGAAGGGGCTGCCCCCAGCACGAGCTCTGCGGGAGGCGGGTGGAGAAGCGCAGGGCAGTCTTCGCAGCTGGAGGGCGCCCGCTCTGGACGCGGCTGCTTCATCTCCAGGTCGCGCCCCTGCTGACACTTCTTCACTGAAGTGTAGCTGACTTGCAACACTGCTGGTTCCAGGTGTACAGCACAGTGCACAGCACGGTGACTCGGTCACACACGTATATGCATACATCTATATTCTCTTTTTGGACTCTTTTCTGTTATAGCTTATTACAGGACACCGAATATAGTTCCCTGTGCTAAACAGTAAGTCCTTGTTGTTTACCTGTTTTATATACACACAGTACCGTGTACCTGCTAATTCCAAACTCCTAATTTATCCCTCCCACCACCTTCCCTTTGGTAACCATGAGTATGTTCTCCACGCCCGTGAGGAGCCCGCCTGCCCTTTGCAGGTTCCGTCACAGGCTCTCCTCCTGCACGGCCCTAGGCTTACGCCCAGCGTTCATTCCAGAGTAACGCGAGTATGTGAAGATCCTTCTGATACCTTTTCAGAATTTAAGATTGAGAAGGTACAAGGCAGTTTTTAATAATGCGGATGGTACAACTCCCCTCACCAAAATGGGGGGAACTGGCATGGAGTTGCCAATTTAAAAATATCACTACTGAAGAACATTAGAGAACATAAAAGAAACATTAAGTGTCTATCAACAGATGACTAGATAAAGAAGATGTGGTATGGGGGTGTGTGTGTGCGTACATACACATACACACACACACACACACACACACATCTGCGATGGAATATTACTCAGCTGTAAAAAAGAATGAAATCATGCCACTTGCAGAAGCATGGATGGACCTAGAGATTACCATACAAAGTGAAGTAAGTCAGACCAAGACAAATACCATATGATACCACTTCAATGCGGAATCTAAAAATAATACAAATGAACCTATTTACAAAACAGAAACAGACTCACAGACATAGAAAACAAACGTATGGTTACCAAAGGAGAAAGGGAGGGAAGGGAGGGAGGGATAAACTGGGAGTATGGGATTAACAGATGCACAATACTATAGTAAAATAGATAAATAGGAATTTACTGTATAGCACAGGCAACGATATTCAATATTTGTAACTACAATGGAAGGTAATAAAAATACATACATATATACATATATACGTATAACCAAATCACTCTGATATACACCTGAAACACAACACTGTAAATCAACTATCCTTCAATTAAAAAAAGGTTTTTTGAATTGAGAGAATCAAGTCAAAGGGAAAATACACTAAAATATGTAAAGTGACTCAAACATGGTCAGTGTTCCTAAGTATTCATTAAACATTTTAAAAAATCGCTATATTTGATTATCTTTGTCACTATCCACTACGTTTTCTCTTTTCTTGAGTTGACCGTGACTGACACAGTCCATTTTCAAACCTTCTTTATGTAAAAAGAACCCTCTTCAGAATGACTTTCTTATAAGATTCTAAGGAGATTAAGCATTTCCCAAGGTGACTGTCACCCCAAAACCCCACGTAACAAAGAACATACCTGGCCTACAAGTCCAAATGAACGGTCTAAGCTCCTCTGGTCAGTGTATTTTCTGATTTTATTATGTAACCATCCCAACTCAGCAAGTCTGACTGTCGTATCCCTCAAAGATTTATTTAGGTTTGCCTAAAAAGTAAATATATCCAGAGTTTAAAATAAAAAAATTTTTAACACTAGGATTTTAATTATTATCATTGTTTTAACCATTTGTACTTTTAAAATTCTTAGGCTTCAACATAAGAAACTTAAAGATAACGAATACACCATCACTAAAGTGAGAGCAGTGAGACTCTAGGGAACAAAAAGCATCACAGAGCAGGCAGGGAAGTAAGACACCTCTGAACAAGTGTTAGGCTTGGGTCCCACCGCCCCAGGAGGGACTGGCCGGGGTGCCGGCGTGGCAGGGACAGTCTGTGACATCAGTGGCCTCGTGACTCGGCTAAGAGTCGCAAAAGGACAGAGGGTCAACAAGAAGGGCTGTGGGCAAGGCAGGTTCTGGAAGACAGAAGCAAAGATGCCAGGATACCTGGCCGTCAGGTAACTCGGGCACCACCGCCACAGGAGGATAGGGGGCCACGCGCTGAGGATCAAACCAGGGCGCAAACCAGGGTTCCGTGGTGCAGACTGACCAGGACTCCCGAATCTGCACGCCAGCCCTCGTGACCCTAGCACTGCCTCACAAACCAACCGTGCCTGCTGCTCCTGATGCCATCTGTCTTGACTTCTGAACACTTCAGATGGGATTTCAGTGACCGTACCTTTCCCTCCACTTTGTAACAGTTGTCAGCGTTGCTCAGCTTGACATTTCTGCCATCTATGCCCTGGAAGACGTACAGAATATCTCTGACTAGGGCTGCCTCGGCAACTTCCACGGCACCTGTAACACGGTTTTTACAAGGTGAAATAAATCGCACAACACAATTCGCTCCAGGTGATATATTTGCAACCAGAACAAAATTTAAAAACTAAATAAATGAGTTTAAGATGAGAAAGAATATGAAGTTATAAGAAAAAAGGATTTTCTGAAAATGACATGGAGGTCATATAATTTCTCTTCCGAAAGTCTTTTAAAAAGGCAAAGCAATATGTGGGAGTTTAATATATGATCAAGGAGCAGCACAAATCAATCACAAAAGGATGGATAATTACTTCATACGATGTTTAGAAAACTGGCTACACAGCAAGCACGCAAACCTGGTTCCATCTCCATCACCATGACGAAAGGAGTTAACACAGCAGAAAGGGATCTATGATTTCCACAAACCTTGGAACAAAAGCTAACTCAGAATTTAGGTATTACCCAATGTCATGACAAGAGGCAAAGCCCACAGACCCAAGGTCTCAGTGGGAGGAGACACAGTCAGAGCCCAGCAGGGTCAGGCTCCCACTCCAGGGCTGCAGTCAGTTGTGGCAATAATGGTCTGTAAATATGAGACTGCAGCAAACCGGGCCTATCGTCACTGGGGAAGGGAGAGCAGACCCAGGAAAGCACTCGGCAAGGACCTGAGGAGTGGGCGGCTCTGGGGAGGCACCGTCAGGGTGACAGGGTGACAAAGCCAGCCTGGAGGACTGAGGCTCCTGAACCCCGTCACGAGAACGAGAAACCAGGCCAAGGTTGTGAGCGTTTAAAACAAGGGGTGCATCCCTACTCACCACCTGCATCCCCTTCTCTCCGTGGCCTCGTCACGTTGCGAGAAACAGCACTGGGGACACCTTTCGAGGTAGTGGTTTGTAAAGAAGGCTGGTTTGCAGTTAAAGTCCACGCAAGACGTGAGCCCAGCTGCTGTCGAAGACAATCTCCCACGCCCGGAGCTGGGTGAGACTGTCTGAAAGAGGAAGGCACCGTCTGTGTCTTCAAATGCCCGGCTCTTCACGGAGGATGCTGAGACAGCCGAAGACACACTGCTTGAGTTGCTATACTGAGTGACTTAATCCTGAGAACCTGAGACGCCCGAGCGGCCACACCACCACCGTGCCCCCGTGTCCCAGCGACGACGCCCAAGGCCTCCTGGGCTCCCGCAGTGGCTCTCAGGCTCTCCCTGCCACCTCCACAGACTTCTCAACACACAAGTCACAACCTACTGGACTTTTCTTTACAAATACATAACACACCACCCAGCTAAAACCACTTTGAGATCCACTACTGGTTTTACCCTGAAAGTTAACATCTTTCATCCAGTCGACATTCGTTGAGTTAAAAAAATCCGAAACACTGTCCCCCTTCCATCCTCCCTGTCCCTCTGTCTTCACAGCACTTGATATGAAAAGAAATATCGTAATCTGCAATTAGTTTTAAAATTGCGCAAACATAAAATACAAGGCAAAGGCACAACCAAGGTCAAGACAGCTTCTAGTAATTTGGAGAACGTGTCAAAGCTGCTCCCTGAAGACGTAGGAAGCTGACAGCTGATTTCCAATGACATGTTTTGACAACCGCAACAAAAATAGCGCTTCCTGGGACTGCAAAATGCAGAAATGAGGACCTCAGGGGCACTACTGCTTCCAAGTGGTGAGCTCTGGTTTTAACTGGTCGAGTAAGAGAGGAAAGAAAAACCTGAAATGGCCCTGACTTCTCCCTATTTTTGACGGGGGGGGGAAAAGTCATCAACAACACTAAATTAAAACTATGTTTCTGAATAGTCCTAAAATTAAGAAAAAATTCTAAAAGACCACTTCAGTTCAAAGTTCTCTATACAGCTTTTTTTATATCATGAAACTAATTATTTCAAGTACTTATTTTAAGGGTGAAAATAAGAACATCTGTTTATTCTTTTAGCCAGAATATGAGTTTAAGATTAAATTGTGGGATGTATTGTGCTGTCTTTCTAAAATACTAGCCTCCATTTATTCCACATGTGTGGTACACACATTCTATCTTCTGATAACTTTAACAAAATTTGATTAAGTCGCACAATGACTTATAACTGTATTGCGCTCACGTGGAAAACATCATTTGATAGTAAATGCTTGGTCTCTGTTCTCCTAGAAAAATATCCACTTTTTGATATTTTAAAGCATAGTCTGCTTTAATGTGATTTCTAGGAATGTGTATGGAAAAACATACAGGGGAGCAAAGTTCCAAGTCCATTCCGGCACTGGCACTTGCTTTATTCTCAGCCATGAGCTCTGTGTGTAACCAGATGTGACAGCACGTTGATGTAAAAGCTGTAAGGTGCCACACTCCTCAGTCTGAAGACCTCAGCACTTGAGGATGAGACAGCTTTATCTTACGTTCCTGACGTTTTAAATAACTGAGGAAGAGAACAGCACACCCATGAAGGGGACAACGTGCACTGAGAGACGCACGAGAGCCCAGCAAGAGCCTGGCGCTCAGTTACGGCCAGAGAAGGCTCTGCACGCCGTCGCGTGAGCGGGCCCCCTGCTAATGGGCCTGTGCCTTAACAGGCGGGAGTCGGCCCAAACCCTTCATAGTCAGCTAGGACTAAATGCGGGAAGAGCTCCCATCTGAAATGGAGGGAGTGCTTGGAAGGGAACATCCCAGATAAAGCACCTCAGACCCGGCGCCTAGAACATCCCTGGCACGTACGAGGCTCTGGAGGTAGTTTCGGTGAAGACAAAATGGCTGACTAAAGGCCGAGCACCCCCCCGCTCCTACTGTGTGAGGACTCCCGCGCAAGCTGGGTTACCCCGGAAGGAGAGGCTGAGGCGTCGGGGTCGGGCCGCTGAGGGCACACACGCCGATGCTGCTGACGCCACTGCTGCCCAGGCTGCCAGAGCTCTGGGCCGGCTGCACGCTGCGGTCCTGGTAGTTCAGGGGCAGGGTCTGAGGCCTGGCATAGTAGTAGGGCGTGGAGTGAGCATCTCGGGGTAGCGCTTGAGCAAACAACGTGGCATAGCTAGAAACCTGAAAATAAAAGGTGTCACGAATATGGGTATGAAATTACAGAATGCTTTCCCACACCAGCAAAGATAATTTACATTCAGACTTTGGTTCTATTTTTGTAACTGGATTTTGTGCAGGCAGACCTCAGAGATATTGTGGGTTCAGTTCCAGACCACCGCAATAAAATGAGTAGTGAAACAAAGCAAGTCACAGGAATTTTCAGGCTTCCCAGTGCATATAATAGTTATGTGTACACTATACTGTAGCCTATTGAGTATGCAATAGCATTATGTCTAAAAAGCAATATACACACCTTAATTTAAAAATACCTTATTGCTTAAAAATGCTAACCATCGTCTGACAATGTAAAGTTGCCACACACCTTCAACTTGTAAAAAATGCAGTATCTGCGAAGCACAATAAAACGAGATGTGCCTGTATTTATTAAACGATAAATCAGTTATTATAGTTTTGAAATATGCCTGAACTGATAAAGTTCTGGAAAGTTTTCTGAATCTCAAAACTCCCACATGGTCTGAAAACTAAACACTCAGAAACCAAGCAAACTGAAACTCAAATAATTACTCAAATATTTTTAAAAGTCTGGCATTACTATGTGATGAAAGAATGCTCATTACTCAGACTAAGGCTTTAAAGGTAAATATGACTCTTTCACCCACATTCTTCAACTCTCTAAACACTCAAATTTCTGTGGTCGAGCATCTTATTACACCAGACTCTCTGGGACTCCGGGCGGCAGCCCAGTAGCTCTTTCAAACACCACATGGGTCAAAAACTGAACCCACTGACAACAAACTTTTCATGGTAAAAGAGTAATTAATGCTCATCATGATATCTGAAAACCCAAGAAAACCCGAAAAGGTCTTCTAACCCAAAGAATAATGAGGCTGCGCTAATATTAACAACTTCACACAATAAAAATCTGGAAACTGATAGCTTATGCTCTACTTAACCAGACATTGTTATATTTGAAGTAAGAACATGATTCTCAGAAACATCTTAAGGAAACACAGCATAGTGACTAAAAATGCCCTTAAAAACAAAACAAAAACAAAGAAAGAAAGAAAGAAAAAGAAATCTCTTGACCCTCATGACAGCCCAGAAAACTATACAAAATTTTTTTGCTTTTCTCCTACTATTTTCTTAAGTATGGAAGCCAATTCCTATCAAAATTTGGTATAACTGTCCCAGCAAAAGAAACTGTGCTTTAAAAAGGCATTGAGCTGTGAAAATAGAGCCTCTCACCTTGTTAGGCTGCTTGCGTGGATCTTCACTAAGGCTTAGCAAGAGGTAGAGAACTGACCATTTATTTTTCAAAACTCCCTGTTTAGAAAGAAAACATTAAAAGAACTTTGTACTAGTTCCCAATTTTATCTTCCTCTCTCCTAAACTACCCTTACTTCCAAATTAGAAAAGCATTTTAAAATTCACCTAGTAACATCAAACCTAAGTTTGTCGATTTTTCAGGCACTACCATGGTATTATCCATGAGAAGGCAAGAGAATGTTCTCAAGAGATCAAGACCCTTGGAACCTTTAACCCCCTGAAATCTAACTCCAAAGTCCCAACGCGAACATTTTTTCAATTACCCTATTCCTGTCTAACGGTATTTCCTCCCTGAAATAATTCTTATAATAACCAACTTCCCAAACACAGTGATTATAAGAATAATGCCATCACAAAATGTGTGAATGCTTTCCCCGCCTTAAGTCCAATTTAAGCCATTAAAAAAAGAGTATTAGGAAAAAAGAAAATAATTCCAAAGTATAAGACGTAGGTCTCAGCATCATGCATTCTTGGGAAACTCAAGGTTCTGAAGCACTTAGATGTCAGGATAACTATCCCTAGGTTTCTATGTAAGGTAATCATAATGATTTCATTAATTTCCAAACACGTAACACTCCCCCCAATTCACAACCGTTAACAGCAAGCAGCCCGCCCTCGATACGTTTTATCCCAAATTTACAGCACATTCCACTCTATTCCTGTATTCCTACCTTTCCTATGCATAGGCTAGAAACTATAAATACTTTATTCACAAAACAAATTATGGGACGGTTACTCACGTTGCACAAGGCCTTCATTATATGTATAAAATATTCCTAGAAAGTTTCTTTAAAGAATAAGCTCATTCCGGGTATTTAACTGATTCACACAGAATTTTTCAGAAACAGCAAACTCCCCAGCTGGGACAACAGCAAGGAAGAAAGAGGCCAGCCCTGACTGAGGCCTCAGCCCAGTGGTAAGCAGACGTTCAGGCAAATACACTTTGGTATCATGAACTGCCCTTCCAGACACAGGAGGATGGCTCACTGGTCCAGGCTCACGAAAGGACCCCTCAAGGAGACGTGCGTCTCTCAGAAACAGAGACGTGTGCCCCTGCAGCGCGGCAGGAGGGGCTCACTCTTCCCTACCCTGCCTGTTCCAGGGGAAGCCAACCAGAAGCAAGGGAGCCTAGGGGCTGCGATCCACACCCGTCAGCCCCCCAGAGCCCGAAGCAGCAGAAGGGGGCAGAGAACAGAGCTGGTGGGACCACCAGAATCAACAACTCCAGCACACACGTTTCAGGTGATTCTAAACCACTTCAGACCCTGTTGTCTTAGACTTTGAAACTGAAAGGACCTCAATTCAGACATAAATCAAACGCTGTGCACACCCTGAATTCTAAATGTGGAAGCACTCATCAGGGCCCCGTAAGCTCTAGAGGAGCATCGGAGCAAGCGCTGCCCGCAGTTACTTCGAGCGGCGCGCCCCAGCCCGGGGGCGGCCCCGCCCCCCCCCCCCCGCCGCCCGCAGCCCCTCCTGGTCTTCAGCTCTGCCCCGCCAGCCTCGGTCCAGCTTCTAGCCCAGGACACCCTGCCCTCACCTCTGCTCCCTGACTCCCGCCTGGGGTCTAAGGACACAATGGCAAAAGGCAAAGGGCCCCTCGGACCTGCCCTGGTGCCCACGGGCACACTGCTGGAAGGCCCTGCCGGGCGGGAGGGAGGACAAAACACCGACCACGGCTGTGGTTCCAAAGAAGCAAACATTTCAGCAACAAGAAGGGACGGGCCCCGCCGCTCGCTAACGTCTTCCACCACGCTTCAGCCTCCAGCCCTAGGAAGCCGGCTACTATGTAAAACATCACCGCTTTAGGAATAAGCATTTGGTGTTCCAAACTGAACTGTGGGAAACAGCCATTTAAATTAGAAACGCCTTAAATATGTTGTCACCTAATGGCCAGTGTTAACAGACATAACAGCTCTTACTGATGAAATCTCCCTTTGGGGATCTCAGGAAGGCTAATAAGCACTTCGGGAATGTGACATCTGATAAGCAGATCTTGGTAATTTTCAATGCATAAGTGAAGTTGTTTTTAAAAATAGAGAAAGATTAAGAAAACCAAATAATATAGCAGTTTGAAACTATCTGCCTGGAAACGACTGTACAAAAAAAGGTTCCTCTTTTTTTTTTTTTTGGATTTTATAATTTAATGTTAGATTATATTCATATTGAAAGGTTTTCTTTTTAAATCATATCTCTTGCAAGGTCAACTTCATAAATATCATCAAAGATGGAAAAACATACTTAAAGCAGTGAATCCAAGTAAATCCAATTGAATTAAGGAATCAAAATGGTCAGCAAATAAGGTTAGGCTTCTTTTTAGGGGTACAACAGACGAACAAAGAGGAAGACTTGAAAGAACCACGAGTTCTACTACTGGCAGCATCAGGCACTGCTCCGTGATTTCACCATCGTGAGACTAACCCAGTATTTGTTGAGCAAAGCAGTAAACTTCTCAGGATTTCACTTTCTTCTCTGTAAGAGAAGGGAGACGGCTACCAAGCTGTCCAGCTTCCTTTATAGTCTGAATCACAAAAATCTCCCCCTAGGATTCGGTTAGTTTACTGGAGTAAAGGCCAGCAGAGTCTTTCATAAAAATAACAGGTTAGACAAACCACTCACATGCAAGTATCAACATCCAAGCACAAAATGTTCAAATCAGTTTTTTATTTATTTACTGTGACAGTAATTTACTGTAATTTATTCACAGTAACAGCAGGAATTGCACCTGATGAACAATGAGATGCACCAACAAGCTAAGCCTCTGCTGTCGTGTGTAGACACGTCAAAGCTTCTGCTGATGTGCTTCCTCCCAGGGACGTAACTAAGGCTTCAGTGACATGCTCACTGCCCAGCGAGTCTGATCGCTTTCTCACTGTAGCTTCATTCATCTTTATAAGCAATTTCACATTCAACCCAGCTAGAACCTACTTCTAACACCGAACGTCTTTGAAAAGCAAACACCATCTAGAGTTGAAAGCCACTACGCAACACAGAGAAGGTGACCACGTGCTCCCAGCCACACTAACTGCCTCGCCAACGGCAGAGCAGCTTTCAGACACGTGCGTGATACCTGTGAGTGAAGTTTCCTGTGGAGTTCTGAAAATAATGCAGCATCTGCTTCTCTTCTCTGTCGGGTAACTGGAAAGTCAGAAAATGAGCATGTTAATGACACACATCAAAGTTTATTCTTATGATACTATTTCACCATTCACAGTAATGGATAACTGACGTCTGCAACGAATCTTGAGCTTAAGAATCAAAATAACCAGGCAACGTCACTTCAGCTCCATAAATTTCGTCAGGTCACTGGATCTGAGATTTGTAAAATACGGACAAAATTAGGCTGGAATCAAAGAGTTTATGTGAAAATTAGCTAAAGTAACAGAAATGATGGGATTTTTTAGATCTTATCTATAAATAGTAACAAACGGCCCAGTGAGGCAAAGTACCCCGAGTTCAGCTAGTTAATAAAGGCCACCTGGAGGGAGGGATGGGAAGTGAAAACATCTTTGGGATCCTAACTGCAAAAGGCAATAACAAAGAAGTACCCCATTCATGACAGTGTGACTTAAAACCACACCTTCTAAGCATTTTTGTTAATATGTAGGCAATGCTTCATCTTGCTTTGGTGTAAGATATGATAGTCAGTTACTGTTTCAAAATCGAAATCAAAACAGCTAAGGGGCTAGTCTTCACCCAGGAATTCGTTCCGTGCCTGCGTGTCCCCAGGGCTCACAGCCACAGCACATTCCCTAGAAGCCAAGGAAACCAACGAGAAGCTCGCTGTCCGCTCGGCTCCGTGAAGGAGGACGTGGGCCTAGGAGGAGACGCTCACCCACATCCACCATGCTGCGCGCACCACCTGTGCACAGCTGCCTCTCAGAGGAATCCCATTACAGCAGAGAGAAAAGCACCACCCTCAGAAGCTGGCTTACAGGAATCTCTGCGTCTATTTACCCCAGCGTAGCAGGACTGCTTTCTTAAAATCTCATCAGCCAAGCTCACTTAGTTTAAATGTTCGAATTCTTCTCTAGAAAGACAATGACTGACTTGACAGCCAGTACCTTTTCATATTCATCACCTAGGAAAGGGTCCCCGTATCATGTACTGACCGTATGGCCCAGCATGTCTCGTATGGACATACCAGAGGCCGCTTCATCCTAATCAAAGCTGTACCTCCAAGTCTTCCTGTGCAGAACGGTAAAGCTCTCTTTAAAATGCATTATTACAAAATGCGTTCAACAAAATGAATGCAGTTAAAAATTCAATATAATTTACTTTTACATGTTATTTCTACAGAATGGGACTAATGCTAACTCAGATATAAAAGTCACAGGACAATAAAATATAGTAAATGATACTAATAAAAATGAACACAGAATATTCACCCCCAAAATGATGTTTTATCTAATAGACTGCTAAATAAAGCAAAACAAGCCTTGAGTTACAATGTACCTCACTTACCAATGTGAAAAATGAAGACACCAATAGGTGTGAAATTTTGTCACACACGAGTTTTGCAATTTGTGCCAATATAAAACATACTAGCATTTTATATAAAATGGCAAGTTAACATTTTTGTGCTATTCCAGAGGGCAGAGCTACCATAACTCAGCTAATCTAATTTACCAAAAACAATCACCAAATTTCAAAAATATTAAAATGTAAAAACTAAGTCTAAAAATGAATGAAAGATGACAGACCACTGGTGACCACTCCATGCACCATCGCTGACACCTCAACCACAGCTGGGCCACGTCAGGGCTAGGGACTCGGGCTGAGGGCCCAGGAGCAGCCGCGGACACCATTTCAAAGGTACAGAGACTACACAGAACAATAAACTGCACACGGTTACAGTTTTCTTCTTAAAACAGGATCCTTCAGGACCCACTCAACAACATGGCTGCCAGTCCTGTAACTCTGAGGACAAACTATCTTCAGCTACTCCAAGTATGTGTAGTGCTCTCACCAGCGGGCCTGGATCTGTACATCCATAAAGGGCATGGTCTGTTAAATGCAGTACCTAGTAGTTGGGGTTCTCACTAATAATCTAAAATGTAACAATCACCAGGGATCAAGAAGTGAGTACAATGTTCTCAGGCTCAGTTTTACAGACAAGAAAGGAAAAGAAGCCTCTACAGCATGCTAAGTAGTCCATCCCCCACCTTACACAGTACCTACATGCCAGGTAACCCCCAGATCTGAATCATCCCAGTCCTGTGCTGCTCACCGAGCCTCCCCCAGACCAAGCCGCTCACACGCCAGGGTCTCAACCCTACCCCCGGCTGCCACACCACCCAGCTCCGGTACCCAGCTCTGAAACAGGACATCCACCCAGAGCCCTGGCCAAAGAGTTAATAATGCAACAGCTGAGGTGGGAAACGGTGCCATGAGGAACTACCTCTGAGAAGGTGGCATTACCACTTGCGACAGCCCGTTTCACCTGGGCGGCTTGAGAGCCGGGCCTGCAGGGAGAACGCACCTGCTTTCTTAGGTGCCAGGCTGCTGCTTAGGTGGCTGGGGCCAGGCTCTTGAGTCTGGAGAACTGTGAGAAAAGGGGACCCAGCCCCTGGGGAATAACCACCCTCCGACCGGGACACAGGCAGCTCTCACAGGTGGGCCCTGGTGCTCAGAGCCCCTCCCTCAGATGCTGCTGGGATGCACAGTCGGACAACCATTCCTAACCGGGGGCTAATATGTGGACAGCTTCCTTCTCTAAGGTAACAAACACTGTGTATGAAAGCTTTCAGGATCATCTCAGAATTAAAGCATTCAACAGTAAAAAGCTCTAAAGTGCTGCAAGTTAGCTCACTGAATTGTTTCAACTGCCACGGTAATACCCTCTGGTATCTGGTCAAAGGGTGCATAAGAGTAAATACCTCACGAATCACAAGATAGGCAGCAAGTTATATGAAGTCCTTTTATCTTTCTCACATTCTTAACCCAGATTATGTTGTTATAATAGTATTTAAAACAACCCCCTTCCACTATGTTCTTATCCTTATTTTTAATATATATTTTTATATATTTGTAATAGTACCTATAACTAAAATGTGCTTGGGAACTACATATATACATACACATACAAAGAAATACATACATATATAAAGAGATATACAAGTATGTGTGTGTGTGTGTGTGTGTATAAACTTAAGCTTTGACAAGTTTAAGAATGCAATACATGATAACACTTAAGAAAAATACATACGTTCTTTCTTGATTTTTTCAGCTACTAGAAATTCATCTCTTTCAACAGTTGGGGCAAAGTTGCTGCCAATAACTCGCACAGCATACTGGAACTGCTGGGCCACATCGGCTGAAAGGTAAATAAAAGGACGCAAGTTATCACCATCACGTTACGTTGTGATCCCCTGAAGCTTCCAGTTCAACACAGTGCACTGGGCATGTGCATCTACCGTCCACCTTCCCCAGGGCTTGAACTGAGAGGACAGAGAGCCACAAGGAGGCAGAATGAACGACTAAATGAGCAGAATGACAGTTTTAAACACAAAGTGAGGGAGACAGCAACAGAAAGTCTGACAACTCCTAGGAGACAGAAAACAGACTGGACTGATAAACAAATAAGGGAGCAGGAAAAGTGCCAGCCCAAACCATGGCACCTGCTCAGCAGAGCCTACAAGGAGCGCCAGGGCTCACGTGCACACACACACCAGGAGTGGCCGCAAGCAACCAAAATGGGCAATAAGTTATGAACCATGTGTGCACTCCCAGGTAAAGAGGATGGCTTAAACACAGACATGTGCCTCCATGCCCTTCAAAGACCCCACTAAACTGAGAAAAGGGGATCTTTTTTTCTCTAAGGCATAAACCTACAAGAGCAAAGAAAACAAGGCAGATCAGTAAACCCTGCTGGCTCGACTTCCAAAAGTGTATCCCACTATGATCACTCCATAGCCACTAGCCCATCTCAACAAGTCTCCTGAGTAGCTGGTGACCTACTCTTCCTTTTGCCCCTGGAGTGAATTACCCACACGCAGTCAGACTGATACTGAGGAAGGCCTACAACACTGGGCCCCGTGCCACCTGCCACCTCTCCTGGCCCAGCTCACGACACACCAGCCATGCTCTGCGGTCCTGCTCTTCCTTGAGGACGCCTCACTCACGTCCAGCTGAGAACCCTGACACACCCTCCCCGCCAGCTCCTCAGACCGCCCTCCCACCTCCAGCACACATACACACGCACACACCCACACACACACATGCACACACACGTGCGGAGTCTTCCTTAAACACCACTGCACCACAACACAGAAGGTGAGTATATACATGGGGGAAAGGAGCAAACAAGTAACTCAGACTGTTTCTGTGGAGTCACAGGATTAGAGGGGAGACCTGCTTTCTCATGTTTTCCCACACTTAAAAAATTTTCTACACCAAGTATACATTAATTTTATAAATATTAAGTGTCACTGAACATCACTTATTTAAAAGGAGTGCTTGTATAACTGTTTTATTTATTTATTTATTTTTTATTTTTTTTATTTTTGCGGTACGCGGGCCTCTCACTGCCGTGGCCTCTCCCGTCGCGGAGCACAGGCTCCGGACGCGCAGGCTCAGCGGCCGTGGTTCACGGGCCCAGCCGCTCCGCGGCACGTGGGATCCTCCCGGACCGGGGCACGAACCCGTGTCCCCTGCATCGGCAGGCGGACTCGCAACCACTGCACCACCAGGGAAGGCCCATAACTATTTTAGTAAAAAATTATTTTTAGATTACCATGATCCTGAGTTCTACAAACAACAGTTCGTTAACAACATACTCGAGGACATCACAGAAACATCCCCACTCTAAAAGTTCCGTAAGCTTTTGAATTTTCTCCCACCCAAAATGCAAACCTCCTCAGTACCAGACACACTCTCCTCTTCCTTGCCGGCACACCTTCTCCACACCTCTGTACAGCTGCATCCCTCCCACCTCTGCAGCCACACTGCAGTTTCCCTATCTGCCTGCCAGCCAAATTTCCAGTCTATCTTTCTTGTTGATGATAAAGTATTTGAAAAACCCATCAGCTATTTCTTAAACCAAATCTACCTATCTTGTGCTTCTGGATGCATAGAATCCAGACTATGAAGGAAATTAGCAGAGGCAGTTATTCTTTCTTTAATAATGACTATCACCAAAGATTAAAATGCAAAATATCAAACAATGCCAACTACAAATTTCTCCTTTAACACTCCCAAAACATCATTCAATTTTTAAAGTATACGTAAACTCAATCAGTAATTCAACGAATAATTCCAAAGCACCTACTACATGCCAAACAGTACAGGCCCTAAGAATAGAATAGACAAGAAATAGTGGCTAACAAGGCAGCCTTTGTGAGAATACAAAAAACTGAGGCAAATAATACACAAGGTAATCAGACTGTGACAAGAGCTACTAAGAAATAAGCAGGACATTACGATGGCAAATAACAGGGAAGACTTCATGAAACAGGCTGGCTAAGCAAGGCCTGTCCGAGGAAGTGACCTTTAAGATAGGTAGGAGCCTGCCAGGTGAAAAGCCAGAGAACCAGGTGGAAAGGACACAGTAGTGGGATTCACAGGGCTACTCAGGACACTGTTCCTCAAAGGAGGCCAATGACACTGGATTCTAAAATCCAAATCATCAGAGCCAAACTCACTCCATCAAGAGTCCCAGACAAGGAGGCCCACACGGCAGCTCTGTGATGATCTGGCTTAACCCAAGACTAAAAATAGGAGTATTCAAATTTTGGACCACAAAGTACCAGAGCACTCTCGCCTCCAATCTGCTCTGGGTATGTGCCAGGGGTGGGCGGTTTTCAGGAGCGGGGAAGGGGAGGTACACCCCCCGCCAAGCCTCGCACGACATTTCTTTGAGGAGCAATGGCACCAGTGAATTCAAGGATATGCTGCCTCACGAGTGCCAGAGAGCCGCTGCAGTGCTGCCGACACACACACTTCCAGCCAAGCAGGTGACAGGCCACCCCACAGGAAGGGCCACGGCTTTCCCGCCTCTACTCAGCGGCAGGAGCAGGAATGAGTGAGTTCAAGACAAGAGGCTCCAGGATCAGAGGCCTGGGTTCCCGGCGTGGCCCTGCCAGCCGCAGCCAGAGGACAGCGGGCCGGCTACATCACCTTTCCAGGTCTCAGGGACCTCGGCTCTAAAACGAGGCCACTAGGGACCACTGCCACCTCCCAGAAGGCGCGCAGAGCGTCTGGCACACAGCAAGGACTCAACAAACGTTAGCTACCTTTATTATTATTAACCTGAAAATGTCATTTAAATGTACATTTTGTCTAGCATAGCCATCAAAACTACAACTCAACACAGCACCCCTAGTTTTTAACTTTACGCAAGATAATGGGGTCTTCATCCTGTAGGTTACAGACAGGGAACAAAATCAGCCTTCAACAGATCTGATTAAACTGTTTTCTAGAAATGACCCTCTGGCTGCAGGGTGGGAGAGAAACTGGGAGGAGGTGCAAAGCCAGGGCCGGCGACACCGTGGGACCACAGGATCTCAATCTGACATGCGAAGGCCCAGAGAGCACGCAGGTGTGGGCCCAGGAGGTTTCAGACGGAAGACAGCTGCCTCTGCATCCTGAAAGGGTTATCATCCACACGTTCAGGTAAGAGACAACCACTGAACTTCAAGGTGCACAAAAATAAGCGAGTCCCCAGGAATTACAAAACCTCTACAGGTGTGTGCTTCCCAGAGATTCAGAAAGTGACGGAGGACAAACCGTCGAAGTCGTACGTTTCTGCCTTCCTGCAGCTCTTCTACCTGTGGGCTTGTGCACGTGTGACACTGCTTTCGTAAAGGACAGGCCGACAGGTCAGTAACCTGAACCAGCAATCCCCACCCAAGAAACAGGTCGGAATGACTGTGTTCCAGACGCCAAGCTCCAACAGACACTGCCAGGACCAGTATCTCTGGAGATGGGGCCCACAATATTAGTTGTGAATAAGTGCCACATTTAGAGAATTCAAAATGAAAAGAATACAGTAAAAAGTCTTCCCCCTCCACTACTGTCTGGCCACCAGCTCCTCTCCCCAAAGCAGCCAGTGTCATCAGGTTCTCGTGAGATCACAGATGACTCTGATCACAGCGCTAGTTGAAAAGCAATGCTCTAAACAAAAACAAAAATCATTGCTCTAGTTTGTGGTTCTCAAACTTTTTGGTCTCAAGCCCCCTTTACACTTTTAAGATTGAGGACCCCTAAAAGTTTTTTATTTATGTGGGTTACATCAATCTATACTTACTGTATTAGAAACATAAACCATGATCATTTTTAAATACTAATTCATTTTAAAATAGCAATAATAAACCCATTAAGTACGATTTTCAAATGAAGCCTAAACCTTTAAAATTTCAATATACACATTAATAAACATTGAGTGTACATTTTAACATACACATAATAAGTTTTTTTCCCACATGTTTTGATGTATATTTAATACACATTGATTTTCCCAAGGTAAAAACTACACTTTGTTTGGAACTTCATCAAGAACTCTTCACAATTTTCAAAAATCATAAACCCACAGCAACACCACTTGTGGTCCACAAACCACCAAGACGACATCCTTTCCCTGCCTGCACCATGGCTCACGCTGCCCTCACGTGGCCGTTCCCAGTCAGGGTCATCGTCTGACCTCAGTATGTGGGCTACTGTAGTCCTACCTAAATGTCTGTGCTAAACACTTACCTAACAAAAACTCCTGTATTTCTTCTTAATCTCTAGTTAGAAAGAGGATTACAAAGTATGAAAAGGAATGTGGCCTCTGGCAGAGCTGAAACACTATAACATCAAGTACACTGTTTCCAAAGACAGAAATAATGACTATCCAGAGATATAATAATAAGTTAAATGTTCTCCAGGAGAGGCTCACGGATGTGGAGAGAGAATTATCCTCTCACTGACTGGCACTGTGTGTTTCAAACAAATTCACAAGTGTTATAAGCTGGAAAAGGTGGGAAATAATGGTTATACTAACTTTATAAAAGTGTCAAGCATCATTATAGCTAGGTGCTTTGCTTCTGAAGGTCCCTTGAAGCTAACTACAAATTAAAAAAAAAAAACGTTATGAAAAACTGATTCATATGAAATAAAACAATATATTATAAAAGCATAAGGCCAATTGTTTGTAAGCTCACTAGAAAATGTAGTTCATCAAATGTTCTACTAAGTTAACAGATAAAATACCCACCAGTGAAAAGAAATTTTTTAAAAATCTCAAACACTGTAAAGGCAGCAAGAACACTGCTCCTTTGTTCACTAAGGAAGAATAAATGAAAACAGAACAAGGCAAGCTATTAAAGACATATATTCTTCAGTAAGTAGTAACATAATTTGGAATTATGAATACAACTGTTTGGCAATCCTAGCTGTCCAGAACAGAATAAAGAGAGCATCGTTTTAGTGGATTTTATGATATATTTTACTCTGAGAGGACCCCTCAGGATCTCACAGACAGCTTATTTACTTTTTTTTTCCTTCCAGTTTTATTGAGATATAACTGATATACATCACTGTATAAATTTAAGGTGTACAGGAGCCAATTTACTCTTAATTTAGACACAATTCTACATGGAGAGAGAGGACAGTGCAGGACTTTCTGAAAAGTTTTTCAACCTCCTGGAATGGGTGAAACTAAGTCAATCAAAAGGAGCCTCAAATGTTAAAAAAAAATTTGAGAAACATGATGACACCTCGTAATGAATGAATGGTCTTCAAAGTCTAGTTGTGACAATGGAAACGGATGAATGTGTGGTTTATCCCTGGAGGAAAACTGAGGGCCCACGGGTGTAACGCAAACCCTGATTTTAACATGAGTGAATCATGACCAACAATCTCAGTTCCCTGGTGTCTCCTATGATCAGGAACATGAAATCAGAAAGGCAACTCAGACACACACAGAAGAGCTGGAGATAAAAACAGAAAACAGCCAGGCCCCGCTCTCCTCAAGACCTTGGCACAGGTGTTCCAGGGCCCCTCCCTCACTCCACCCAGGTCTCTGTTTAGGTATCCTCAGCTTTCCCTCAATATCCCTTCACCCTGGGCTTCCCTGGTGGCACAGTGGTTAAGAATCCGCCTGCCAATGCAGGGGACACGGGTTCGATCCCTGGTCCGGGAAGATCCCACATGCCGTGGATCAACTAGGCCCATGTGCCACAACTACTAAGCCTTTGCTCTAGAGCCCACGAGCCACAACTACTGAGCCCACTGAAGCCCGTGAGCCACAACTACTGAGCTTGCACTCTAGAGCCCATGAGCCACAACGATTGAGCCTGCGTGCTGCAACTACTGAAGCCCATGTGCCACAACTACTGAAGCCCGTGCTCTGCAACAAGAGAAGCCACTGCAATGAGAAGCCCGTGCACCGTAACAAAGAGTAGCCCCGCTTGCAGCAATGCAGACCCAACGCAGCCAAAAATAAATTAATTTTAAAAAAAGATTAAATCTAGTCTAATAACTTACAAATTTTTTTAAAAATCCCTTTACCCTACTTTATTTTTCATCACAGCACCACTAAACAACATTATAAGTTTACTGATTTTTTTTAAAAATAAGGAACGTTTCTTCCACTCTAACGATGAAAGAAAATCTTCTTGTTTGTAATTTTTATTTATTTATTTAAATTTTTGGCTGCGCAGCATGGTGTGTGGGATCTTAGTTTCCCCGACCAGGGATCAAACCTGCGCCCCTGCATTGGAAGCATGAGTCTTAACCACTGGACCGCCAGGGAAGCCCCTAAGTTTACTGATTTTATCACATATCCTCCACTAGAATGTAGGATCTATGAGAGGAATTACCTGTCTCTACCTCTGCATCACCAGCACCTAGCACAGTGCCTGGAGGTGGGGGGAGCCCAAAGATTTCTTAGATGAACAAAGAGAAAGAGTGAAACTTCAAAAACTGGAGCAAGAACCGTGTAAAGTCAGTGTCATTTAGCAGACTGACCAAATAAAATTCATCTTTTTGCTCCTAAGACCATCAAATAAATTATGTACGCTAATCATTAAAGGTCAAAATGCAGTCTCAATTCTTTAATTTTGTTTTAAGTCTCCCTGCAAAAACTGCACACTTTCTTTCCCACATTATGGTGCTCAAGGAATAAGTACCCCAGTTGCTTCAATTACCCAAAAGACCCCTTCGTAGTGCATCCCCTCTTCCCCCCTCCCTCCCGCCAAAACAAACATCGAGAGACGACGAACTGTGCCGTATTTTACGGTTCCAGGACTACACAATGGCTTGACCTACTGCACGGGACTGGTCTGGTAGCAGGACGCGCCATGTGAACCCCGCAGAAATGGTTTTACATCAAAAGCAACCAACCCTCAGCCCTTCATCGAAGGAAAACGTGGCAGGTAACCGTCATAGGCACCTTTGCATCATCCTCAAATCCGCTCCTTTGCTAACGTTAAGGGAAAACTGTGTGGCTCCACCACGCGGACCCCCTCCGCGGCGTCGCCCCCGCGCAGTCACGGGCTTGTGACCCGGGCCAGCCCGCCGCGCACTCCATCCGGATAAGCGCGGGAGCGCCCGCCGGGCCCTGCGGCCGGAGGAGGCGGACGCGTGGCGGCTGACCGTCCTCCGGGCTGCACCCCGGCACCGCGCCGGGCAGCGGTGACTCAGCCGCCCCGGGACCGGCCTCCTTCCCCCGCCTAGG